GCCCGAAGTTTAAGCTTCAGACATGGCAGCGTGAAAAATCACACTAGGCATATGTGCGTGCATGCCCCAAATCTCGGGTAGACAATGGAGGAGAAGGGACTAGCATGGCCACCCCTGGGAGGCTGGTTTGTCACTTTCCCTCTCTCTCCTCTCTGTCTCTTTGGCAAGTGCACACTCCTATTGCAAAAACCTAAAAAGGGGGAGGGCAGAGGCACCATGGTGGTTAAGACACTGGACTTCCACATGGCCAACTTTCTGGTTCAAGTCCTGGGCCCGGACACCGGGCACGCGCGCATGCACTTAAAATCCTGGCGGATGGAGAAGGGGCTGAGTGTGGCTATCCCCCGGGGTGAGGCCTCACTTTCCCTCGACTCAGAGCACACAGTTACATAGCACGTGAGATAACCCAGATGGAGTGGGATTGAAAAGTGACCACAAGGCCGGGCATGGGCAGCGGTCGAATGCTCGTCTGTGAAGCAGTCCCACATGGGGCGTCCCTGGCTGACGTCCTGACCTCCCTGAGTGTATGGGTACCTGCCCGCCTGTGGCGCAGGGCTGGCTGGGGCTGGGCGTGGAGTGCATCTTGGAGACCCTCTCGGGTTCTCTCTCTCTCTGTCTCTTATTCATGGAAGAAATGAGTAAGCTTTAAGAAATCAAGCCGTGACAGTCCTGGACGGCAGTATGGGTGCTCACACACAGCAACAGGGAAGGGGAGGTTTTGGTCTTTGTTAGCACCAGACACCAAGGGCCAGCTCCATGGCCTGGTGGTGAGGCAGCTGGTCCCCACAGAGCCAACTGCCCTGTTCAAGTCCTGGGCCAGGCGACCTGAGCAGGTGCCAGGGTGTGGGTGCGTGCTGAACATTCCGAGGGGGGAGAGACAGAGGAGGGCCTGTGATGTCACTGTGTCCCTGTCCTCGCTCTCGGCCTCTCTCTGAGGCTGTATGTGCCCTCTAGGAAAAAGAAATTAAAATAATAAAGAAGGAGATACAGACATTTGATTATGAAAAGTTTCTGAATGTAAGCAAATGCTAGCTCGAACTGCGTGGCACACAGCTGAGTACAGTGTGTTCGTAACTTCCGTGGCGGGTCAGAGCGTGGCCCCCCAGGTTCACAGAGCGCTGACCCTCAGCAAGACCAGCAGTATGATGGAGGGGCGGGCAGAGGTGTGAGCAGACAGGACCCAGCCAGCCGGGACACGGCGCTGGGCGTCACAGAAACCGGAGGGCATGAGTTAGAGGAGCACTCCTGGGCCAGCAGGTGGGGTGGGGGTTGGGCCGCGGGCGCCCACGTGGCTGAGCGAGCAGTTCGAGCCCCACCCCACACGTGTGTGTGCGTGCTCCAGACCCTAAGTGACAAAGGGAGAAGGGACTGTGGCATGCCACTGCCCCAGGGGTTGGTTTCTCACTTTTCTTCTCTCTCTGGCTCTCTCTCCTGCAAGCAGGAGTGTCCCACAGCAAAACTAAACAAACACAGGTACCGTTCTTTTCCTTGCCTGTGTGGTTGGCAAAGGAGGGAAGACAACAGTACCCAGCCAGGCCCAGCGCGGGCACCCCAAATGTGGCCGTGTGTGCCCCAGGGAAGTGTTCAGAGCAAACGGGCCCCGGGGGTGTGGCCTCCCGCTAGAGCTGCGGCACACGCCTGGACTTGGCCACGGCAAAGCGTCTCGGCCACACAGGGCCACGTGGCACCTCGCGCTGTTAGGTGAAGGAGATTCAGATGCCGCCGGACACTGGCTGGCTTGTGAGCACTGAAAACGAGGGGCCGTGCCCAGGACCACCTTGCTCATGTGACACTGACATCGGGGAGCCAGGCACTCAGCCTGGTGAAGGGAGAACAAGGGCAGCCCCTCTGAAGACAGGGGAGCCAAGGTGTCATGGAGCAGGCGGCGGCCGACCCAGGCGGGGAGGACTGTCAGAGTGGGAACTGGCAAGGCCCTCTGAGTAGCACCAAGAGCGAACCTCCTGGAGCCGCCTGCTGGGCTGGGCTCTGGCCACTCCTGTGCCTCCATCGCCCCCGCTGGAGTCTGCCCCACCCTGTCCGCTTTGTCCAGGGCTGCCCGTGCAGTGCCCTGAAGTGCTCCCAGAGTGCGTGGACAGACGGCCCTGGAGCTGTGTGCCGGGAGCCCTCCCGTAGGGAGGCCTGTGCCAGGGTCCGCTTCTCAGCATCACTCTGCCGGTGAGTGTGGCCCGGGCCCCGGGCAGACCCAACCCTGGGAGCTGCTCAGCACAGAGCACCAGCCCGTGCAGCGGGTCTGCCCACCCTGGGACATCGGCCCTCAGACAGCGCCACGCTGGCAAGCTGGCGGGGTCTCGAGCTACCTCTCCCGTTACGT